GTACCTCAGTTGGTAAGTGTCTGAGTCTTGATTTCAGCTCAGGTCATGATCTTAGTTTCATGAGATGGAGCTCTGTGACCTAGAGCTTGGCGCTCAGCAGCGAGTCTGCTTGAGATTCTATTTCCCTCTGTCCCTCCTCACCTCAGATAGATAAATAAATCTTTAAAAAAAACTAAAAGGAGGAAAACATACTGGTTTCTTAGGCAGTTGTGAAGTTTACATAAGTATATCAGGCTTCTAGTGGTTTCTCAACAAAGGTTCATTCAGCTCCATTTTTAGTAGTCATAACAAAACATGTGGTTCTCTGTTCAGATGTCAGGGGCTAGTATGTGTGTATGTATAAGGAGTTTCTCTCTCTCTCTCTCTCTTTTTTTTTTTTTTTTTTTTTTTTTGCTGGTGTCCCTCAAAGCATTTAAAAGACACTCAAGTTGTAACATAGCACTTCCTCAGTATTCACAATATTAGAGTCTTTCAAGCAGGAGAGCACCCTTTCCATCCCAGGTCCCTTGTCCTAGCTTGGCTATTTAAGAGTCCAACTTTCTCTTTCACTCTTTCCAAACTATTTATGTGATAAAGGGACCCAAATAATTTCACCTTGTTCATCCTTTCCGCTTTATATTTTGGGTCTTTTCTTTCTGCCCATTCTCTGATTTTGCTTCAAGCAGGAGCTGAATCTGTAGAGCTGGTATGTGGTTGTTTCAGGGTTTCATGGGCAAACTGGGGAGGAGAGAACTGTGATCATTCCTTCACCAAGGAGGTGAATACAGTAACAACCATATTGTCAGAATTAGCTTCAGATGTCTTATGGCTATCATAGTGAGCAAAATATTAGTTACGTATGAGGGGTGCCACAGATACTAGTTGGAAAAGAATGTGATTAGATGCAAGAGCTAGGAGGTGAGAAGCCTGGTAGAAACTTGACTTTTTTTTTTTTTTTTTTTTGAATCATTGTTTTTCCCGGGTAGGAATGAGACGTAGACAAGACACAACAAAGAGCCCCTTTATGGTCTTTTGCAGCATAAAATTAATTTTACCCTTTTTGTTTCCATAAGGAGAGAATTATTGGTGATACTCAGGATGCAGAGAAATTTCAATGGAGAAGCACATGGTAGTATTTCCCAATTTTTGAAAAAAGCCTTTTTCTCACTTCTTAGTAATAGCTCAAGGGCCAGCTATGCATAATTTTTCCCTTATCTGATGAGAAGGACCTTTCCGCAGGCCCAAAATAAAACTAATAGCAGGGCCTTCTTGTATTCTGACTCTGTAGCTAACTTGACCATTTATGTTATATTCAAAGAAGACTCCTTTCCCTTTCTTTTTTCCTCTGGTATCTCCCTGTCTAACATTCACCTCCATCTTAAATAATAACAGAAGCAATAATGGACACAAAGTGTGAAAGCGGGATGATGGATATGTGGTGTGGTGGGGTATCTAAAGCCTGAATCCCATATGAATGCATGCCTTGTACCAGACCACTACAATGCATTGTAAAGTCAGTGAGTGGAGAAACTAATATTTATTAAGCATCTACAGTTTTCTAGGTAATGGGCTTAGATTTGTGGACATTCCATTTAACTGACACACAAGAATGTTAGGAAGGGTACTATTATGATGATCCACATGAAGAACATGAGACTCAAAGACATTAAGTCATTTACCCAAGGTCATGAAATTAATAAATGGTGAAGCTGATATTAGAACCTAAGTATTTTTAAAGTCATAGTCCCTATTCTTAGGAACATGTGGTCATAAGCCAAAGCCACTTAAAAGAAGTTTCCCACTCAAGCAGCACTGAATGTAAACTTATCTCTATACTGGAACCCCGAGAGCTTGTTGATTGCTGGGCCTTACCCCCAGGGTTTCTGAGTCAGTGGATCTGGGGTAGGGATCAACAATTTACATTTTTCACAAGTTTGCACTCTAGATTGAAGTTTGGCTCTAGCCCTAATCCAAATCTGCAGGCAAAAGGTCCTCTTCACCCTTGCTCTGTGCCCCAATAGCACATGGATTGAATCAGCTAGGATCAGTCTTGGGTACATAAAACAAATAACCCCTCCAAAGAGTGGCCTAAACACTACTCATAAAGTAGACATTTGTTTTTCAGTCATATTATGTTAGTCTGGACACAGGCAGCCCAGGACCAGCGTGGTAGTGTGCTTCACAACTCTCAAAAGCCAGGGCTCTGTCTCTCCATGCATTCACAAACATGGCTTCCACTTTCAACATCCAAGATGCACCTGCTGCAGCCATTCTTTTCACATGTCCAGCAGCAAGAAGAAGGGAAAAGCACATGCAGAATAGGGAAGGACAACTGCCATCTATGCAGCCCCTTTGAAGAACTTTTAAAGAACTTTTCTCAAAAACTCAGTGTAAAAATTCTTATATATCCATGACTACTGAATGGAGGCTAGAAAATATGAATATTTAGCTGGGCACATTTCCACCCTAAGAGTATGGAGATTTTTTTACTAAGAAGGTTAGAAGAGATATTAGGTTGGCA